TGACATCTGTTCATTGAGCATCAGAGTGGTCATAGGGTCCCGCACCCCCTGAAGAGGGACAGATGGGCTTTTCGAAGCCCGAGCAATTGTTCTAGTGGCCTATAAAAGCAAGCCCTATGCAGTATCTTGAACTGTGTCTGAAACCTTTTTAGGATTTGTCCTCAAGGTTCGCAGTGGGGAAATCTTTGACACATTTGGATACTTTTGATCCCACTAAGGTTTTTGGTAACCACTTGAGCTCCAGAAGGTTTTACCCTCTTCATGTCCAGAGCATTTTTTGCAATTTAGTACTGCACTACTTTAAATGGCAATTGTTTAGTCATGCAGTGCTGTACCCAAATGGAATTTATATCATTTTTCCACACAAATAGAGCTTTCTTTTGATGGTATTTTATCACCATTGGGTTTTTTATTTTTTATTATATTAACGAAAAAAAGACCGAACATTTAAAAAAAGAAAAATATTTCTTACTTTCTGTTATAAAAAGTATTCAATAAACTCAAATTTTGTCATAAATGTAGGCCAAATGTATTCTGCTACAAGTCTGGTATAAAATCCCAATAAGTGTATATCAATTGGTTTTTTATAAAAGTTATGGTGTCTACAAATTATGGTATATACTGTATATTGGAATTTATGCAGCTTTTACTTTCTGACTGCCTATCACATTTCTTGAGGTGCTAAAATACTAGGACAGTACAAACCCCCCCCCCCCCCAACTGACCCCTTTTTGGAAAGTGGACTCCCCAAGGAATTGGGTGATAGGAATGTTGAGCCCATGGAAAATGTATTTTGTTGTCACAAGATTAAAAAAATGACAACAAAAGTTTAATTTATTTTTATCTTTTTTACACAAAATTGTCACCTGAAATATTTCTCACACATAGGTATATGTGTGATTACAGAGCAAAAGGAGTAGTAGTTGCCATGAGCCAACTACCGAAGTAGGTAATAAACACCCAAGAAATTTAGCTTATATGTAAAATCACGTATTTTTTATTATTCCCTTGTAGGAAGAAAAAGTATTATCCATGGATGGTGACATGTACAATCACTGAATACACATTAAAAACAATGAAAAGACAAGCAATCCGGATTGCAACATTTAAATAATTCTAGTGGTATTTACTTTGACTGGTTGAGATATACAGCAGCATATTAGCAAAGATAGCCAAAATTCAGCCATTTATCACAAGGCTTAATGTAGTAAACATATGTATCCTGCATACACGATAGCAGTAAGACAAAAAAATTGCCAAGTAGATAGCTAGATATGCATAATCATAATCATTAGATGTGTGAGAACTGCAAAAAAATGCAAGTTGAAATAAGAAATGAGTGTCCATTTGTAGATTGCAAGAAGGAATTTCCATGGAATTATAGTGTTGAAAGATTCATACTTTCCCATGTTCCTTCGTAGCTTGAATACGGTGTGGTTTAGGCCTCCATATGTCATGAAAATATGTAGATATCTTTATCCCTTCTGGGTATTCCTCCAGATAAACATCATGGCAAATGTATGGTGAAGCTGAGAATAAATTGCAAAACTTCAGATGAGGTGTGCAACAACAATTAACGATATTTGACACTGCACCAAAAACTCACCACCGTAATACTGGCTAATGACCTAGCCGTTTCCAAGGAAATAGATTCTCAGCCCGTTGAGACTTGATTGTCATGTTCTAGATATATATTCAGAATTACTTCATTTCAATCCAAAAATACCTTGAAATTAAGTTCAATATTCAAACCTTTAGGAGCCAAAGTTTCAAGAGTGTATATCCAGAATTTTTCTTTCTGTAACAATAAGTTATCAAAATCACCCGGTCTTGGAGAGATGTTGAGAGAAAGTCCATTCTATATCTAGGACATGACAATCAAGTCTCAACGGGCTGAGAATCTATTTCCTTGGAAACGGCTAGGTCATTAGCCAGTATTACGGTGGTGAGTGTGGTGCATTGTCAAATATTGTTAATTGTTTTACATCTCTTCTGAAGTTTTGCAATTTATTCTCAGCTTCACCATACATTTGCCATGGTGTTTATCTAGAGGAATACCCAGAAGGGATAAAGATATCTACATATTTTCATGATATATGGTGCTTAAACCACACAGTATTCAAGCCAGGGGCAGGTTGACCATTTGGAAACTCAGGCACTGCCCGAGGGCCCGGGGTCAGTAGGGGGCCCCATGAGATGCCCCTGGTACCTTTTTCATAGGCTTTTTTGAGTTTGGGCAAGGACACAGGGGTCCCATGAGTTGTCAGTCTGCCCCGTTTCCGCCCCTGATTCAAGCTATGAAGGAACATGGGACAGTATGAGTCTTTCAACGCTGTATAATTCCATGGAAATTCCTTCTTGCACTCTTCAAATGGACATACTCATTTCTTTTTTCAACTTGCATTTTTTTGCAGTTCTCACACATCTAATGATCATGATTATGCATATCTAGCTATATACTTGGCAAATTTTTTTGTCTTACTGCTATCATTGTATATGCAGGATACATATGTTTACTACATTAAGCCTTGTGATACACGGCTGAATTTTGGCTACCCTTGCTAATATGTTGCTGTATATCTCAACCAGTCAAAGTGAATACCACTAGAAATATTTAAATGTTGCAATCCGGATTGCTTGTCTTTTCATTGTTTTTAATGTGTATTCAGTGATTGCACATGTCACCATCCATGGATATTACTTTTTCTCCCTACAAGGGAATAATAAAAATACGTGATTTTACACATAAGCTAAATTGCCTAGGTGTTTATTACTACTACTCCTTTTGCTTTATAATTTTTTGGTTTACACCCACACCTTTAATAGGTGCGATTTTTGAGCTTATTAATAGGCTACCCCGTCTAAGTATTAAACTGGTATATCTATATTTTTGAATATGTATGATTACACCTCAAAATACATTCTGCTACTTCTCCCGATCCACGTGTGTGTCTTTTTGGAAGCCTAGCCGCGTACGGGGGCTGAAAAACCAATGACCACTTTCAGGCTTTCAAAAGTTGTAACTTCCTCACTTCACCCTGACTACTTATCACAGTTTCAAAGGCTCTGAAATGCCAGAATAGCATAAACCCCCCCAAATGACCACTTTTTGGAAAGTAGACACCCTAAGCTATTTGCTGAGAGACATGTTGAGTTCATTTTTCATGTGTTGGAAAATGAAAAAAATATATATTTTTTTTCTTTACACAAGGTTATCACTTTGAGATATTTTTCTCACACATTCCATGGGTATACAGTATGTGGAATTACACCCAAATACTCATTCTGCTACTTCTCCTGAGTAGGATACCACATGTGAGAGACTTTTTGGAAGTCTAGCTGTGTACAAGGGCCCAAAATCCAATGACCACCTTTAGGCTTTCATAGTTATGGAGGCCCTGAAATGCCAGGATAGTACAAACACTCTCCCTTTTTGGAAAGTAGACACTCCAAGGTATTTGCTCAAAGGTATGGCAAGTATTTTTCAGCTCTCATTTGTTGCCACACGTTTTTGAAAAATGAAGAAAGAAAACAAAAATGGAAGGATACTAGGGGCTCTATGAGCCTGTGCATGAGTTCTTGGTGACTTCAGGATTCTACTAGTGCTAGCTACCACACCAGCTTGGACTAAACTTCTGGGACTCACCAAGTCACCATGAGATACTGCAGTGTTGGTGAGTAAAAGGCCAGGATGTACTAGGCCACTGGTGCTTGCCAGATCACCAAAAGGTAATGCAGCACTAGTACTTATGCTCTGCTGCATATGAGAAAAATCATGCATTCCTAGTACTTCAGCTACCTGGGGTTGGGTACATCTGATTTTAAGAGGGATCTCTTCTCCATCATCTGACTGATGTGAATGTACAATATATATGTAAAGCGCTGCATAAATTGACGGCGCTATATAAGTACCTGAAATAAAATAAATAAATCTGAGCTCCCTGGGTTGCCTGCTGCTTTCTACAGGTTCTTATTCTGAGCCTGATTCTGACAGTGAGGCTTCCCTTTCGCTCTCATCTGTCATACTCAGGCCTGTAGGACTCTTCACTAGTGTATCCTTCTTTGGACATTATGTGCACTAAATTTACAGGTACCTAGTGTGACTAATGGGAAAAAGAGCCCTGGCTGTCTGGGACTACTTGAACCACTCACTAGAAATAAAATTTACCTGCTAGTGCTTGCAGAGATCAGGCTTGGTTCTGCTAATGCTGCGGTTTTGTGGGGGGCAGAGGGATTAAACTCAAGTGGTGGCAGTTATTGGGGCTGATCCTGCTAATGCTGCATGTTTAGGGACACCAGACACCATACAAAGAGGGATACTAGTATATTTCTATTTGTGATCAATATATTGATCCATACAGACACTATACTAGTATGGCATGATTAGAGACCTATAGTGTAAGTGTGATAGTGTGCAGGCAATCTAACACTAACTGACCCTGGCTGGGAGGGATGCTAACTGACCCTAATGCTTTCTGATGTCACTAGAGACATAATGTACAGTGATCGGTGAACAATGTCCGAAAAGGGTCCAGGAAGAGTAGAACTAGTTAGATCGAGTGCCTGTATTTACTAATACAGACAAAGGGGCAATCTGTCATTGGCTGCAGGCGATCAGCAGGGTCCAGGGAAAAATCATTAGCGAGGACCTGCTAACAAACCAAGGACAGTGGGGGTTACGGGACCTGGAAGAAAGCCGCGATGTACAGGTACGTCGCTGTAGGATTTGGAAGCTATAATATTCATTTCAGTGATTTCTGTACCTTTCTTATTATGGCACTTTTGAACTGCGCATAACCTTTTTACTCTGGAGAAATAACTACAGTAAAATAGGCTGTCACATACTGTATTCTGACAAAAATTAAAAAACAGACAAGGCTGTCATAACTGTCATTTAATGTTTTGTTTGTCCTTTGTAATCCACATCAGATCATTATGCAAAACACAAACACAGTTGCAGTATATGCATTTGGTTAATAATCTAATGTTATTTTTGGCAGGTCAGTCACCATCCGCCAGCTGCTGCGCATCATGTTTACTCCAAGAATGGGTGGACTTTATGGCAAGAAATTACCATTGCCAGTAAATTCAGGGGCAAATATCTCTCAATTATGCCATTAGGTAAGGCACGGAAAAAACGGATGGGTTTTATTTTGTGTCAACTGAAAAAGGCTTTGTGAGAAGTAACACATTTCAAGACTAATAGTATACATTGTTAAAGTGAATTTCTACAAATGTTTCTTAAATATTGAATACAATCTCTGTGTCTTTATTCAGGGGACATTCATCTGGACTTCCCTTCCAGTGGAAACCATTACGTTTGGAAGAAAGTCACATCAACTGTCCATAATATCATTGTGGGAAAGCTCTGGATAGATCAGGTTAGTTTACTATATCAAAACAGTTTAAATAAGAATTTAGTTACCATTAAACGTGTATTGTCTACTATTTTCTTGGCTATTTCAAAACATTTTCTTACATTATGTTTTTCACCTAAGATTTACTCAAAAAAAGGTATTGAAAGTGAAACGTGTATTAAACACTCAATGGGGATGATTTACTAAAGGCTAATAGACTGTGCATTTTGCAAGTGCAGTTACACTCTGCAAGGAAATTTGCTCCAGAGCTTAGTAAATGAGGAGAAGCTCTGCTGACTTCCATCATCCAATCATGTACAGGCAAAAATGTTTTTTTTTTACATGTGATTGGGTATTCTGTGCAAAGTGAAGCTTCAGCTTCAGCATCATTTCATTTACTAAGCTCTGGAGCAAATGCCCTTGCAGAGTGCAACTGCACTTAAAAAGTGTGCAATCTATTTGCATTTACTAAATCAACACCAAAGTGCTTTAATCTACCAGGCAAAAAAATCCCCCAGTGCTATTATTTAGTTTATGTGTTAATCACTTACATTTTTAATCTTCACTGGCGCTGGCTTCAGATCCATCAGCACAGCTTCCCTGAACTTCCTGATGGGAAGAGCACACACTGTGTACCAAGTCACAAGGGACATCAGCTGTCCATCTGTTAGCTTTGGGGAGAGAGGAGAAGGGAACAGAGGAGTGGCCTGGGTTTTTGTTGACACACACAGCTCCCAGCTGGTTCGTGCAAAGTCGGCTCCATAGGACCCTTTTACCTTTTTTTGTTTACTGCACACTTCTAAATTCTGCTGTCATACAGGAGGTTAAAAGGAAAGTTAGATAAAAAATTGAAAGTTTATATATAAAAAGTATACATAATAATGTGCATAAATTATACAGTGCCAATACATACAATGTGACTCATCTATATATTTACATAACATATAACATAGATTAAATAATATATCAAATGTAGCCAGCTGTAAGTTCATACACCATATAGTGTTTGAGCAGTGAATACCACAAATGTGAATAAATGTGGCAGCAATCTTCATATCCAATCTGGTGAAGTGTGACCAAACAGCAGCACAAAAAAAAATATAAATACATTAATTAAACAATAAATAAAAATGTACAAAAATAAATAATGAATTAAATTAATAAAAAAAAGTCCAAAAGTCCCAAATCAATAGTGAATATTGTGCTCCAATCAGAAAAACTTTCCAACATGCCCATAGCATCTGTGACTTCCAATCCTGCCCGCACTCACCAGATGAAATGGACTCTTAGCTGATGTGGCTTAAGAGTCAAACAGGCCTAAAGGTGGGGTATAACCTCCACAAATGGATTCCACTCAGGAAATCCTTGCTTGACAATCTCCAAACGATCACCCATAGATGGATAGCAATGCAAAAGAGATAACCGAAACACCAATAGTGTGATACTGTATAAACCTTTTAATAATGAAAAAATTGATGCCCATATTAGCTCACATTTTTTAAAAAATTTTTTGCAAGCCTTTTTGAACGTATAGACTCCTCAGGCAAATAACAGATCTATCAACTTTAATCCATGGAAGCAAAATAGCAAATCACATCTGCATTAGCAAGTGAACTGGCAGCAGTCTATGGAGATGTGCTCTCCTCTCCAACAAAATGGCTCTGGAACGCCGAAACCAGCGTGCGTTTCACTCACTGGATGTGACGTCACGAATCCTCCGTCAGAAGCGGAAATTGCGTCAACGCATTTCGCCCCTCCTCCAGGACGTTATCACAGTCATTGATCTCCGATTCCTGCTTCAAGATATACCTTCCCATTACTCCTCCCACTTATTTTATTCGCTGCTTTTAATGGAAGAGACTCCTCTGATCACTTCTACTGCAAATTCACTTCCCGATCAGAATCCTACGGCTACCATTCACAATGCAATATCTTTACCTCTAAAATCGGCATAATACATGAAAAAACAATCCTAAAAATCTATTTAAATAACAATATTAATTATTAAATCTTTGATATGGAACCATAATTAACACAAATATAATAAATAATCAAATAAAAATATATAAAATATATATATAAATTAAATAAAAAATGAATCAAAATTAATTATAAAATGTATATAAATAAATCAATGTTGGATTCGTCTATAATTTTGACCACACTTCTTTCCTTCAATTAACAATTGGATAAGAAACAATTCAAGTCTATATCTGCATTTAACCCCCTAGGGGTAAAGTGCCTGTGCTTCACACTTTTAACAACACATCTCAGTGGCTCAACTCACTTCCCAGATTAATTTGACAACTTATTTAAAAAATGGTCAAAGTGAAGGATAGAAATATCAAATACCTTCAGACTTTAGGGTTGCCAGACTATGGCCAGTGGGAGTAGAAATAGGCTGCCCTATGCATGTTTGTCACCCAAAGAAGCTTCTGTTGCTTTTATGGGCAACGAGCTTCACATGATTTTTAAAGGCGCATTTTGCTGTGATTTCTGTGCGAAAGTCATGCCAGAATCAAATTACCGGTACGTTTGGGGTGGCATTAAGAATGAATGTCATCCAAATATGCGTCTTGCATATTACCACGATTTTACCGTGATTTGGAATCGGGGGCAGAACCACAACAAATCTGCCAGCGATTCCAATTTGTCAAGTGTGAATGGAGCCTCAAGAAACTCTAGTTTTCATAATGTGCAAAAAATATGTAGAAGATCTTCAGAAAGACTCGCATCAAATAGTTCCACCAATATTCTTTAGCTATAATAGAAGGTTTGGAGAGCTACCAAAATTCACTCACTTGGGGACACTGGCCTGGCACAATGCGAAGAAAACATCCGTTCTTTGCTGTGTAAACTATACAGCTGGTTCTTGAACACAGGCTCTGTTGCTGCCACAACCGATTGCCTTCTAAGATGCAGCAGATAGATAAGACATGATGACTTTCTCAACTTGAAATAAACTAATGGAGCAGCTTTCACAGTAAATAAGATCAATTGCTATGGTTGTCACATGCTGTGTGGTTGACGTTTTTGTTTGTTGTTATTTTCTTCAATTTTAAACATACACTTTGTATTTATTATCTCTTTTTTTCCTATTTAGTCTGGAGATATTGAAATTACAAACTATAAAACCAAGGACAAATGCCAAATGAAATTCACCCCATACAGCTACTTCTCAAGGGACATTGCAAGAAAGGTATTGTGGCAGAATATATGCTGTGGTAATCATGTATGCATTTTGTGGCATGTATGAATCTTAAAAACTGAACTTAGGGTAAATAAAAAGAAACAGGTTTGGTATTCATTCATATATTATTATTTTTTTCTAATTGCTCAACAATGTGTGAACCTAACTTAGTATCAGCCTATTCCAGTCCCTGTACAACAAAGTTCAGGCTGGGGGAGGGATAAGCAACACAAAGAGCCAAATTAGTTCATGTGCTGACAGGAAGCATGCTAACAGAAGGAGAAAGCAGAGTGACAGAGAGATGAGAGATGTCAGCCATCATTTAGCTCACTGAGGGCATCTTGTGGCAGAAAAGAGGCACTGCTTCAGTTTGAATGTGAGAATTGCAGCAAAAGCAGGTGTAGGCGACAGATACCAGCTTGACAGTGTAGCGCTACCTCCATAAGGGCCACTGAGTATTTTGGGTTCCCTGTCTGTCCTGAACCTGCTTTGAAAGCTCAATCCCTGCTGACACCACTGTAAACCTTTAACCAGGAGAACCCCCTGGCTTGAAACTTTTGGTTATATTGAGGTCAGAATATAAAGAGTGCAAACACAACAAAATAACATTTGAATACAGTATGCTATATATGGGAAAACATTTGTGTATAGATAAAAAAATCATAAATACACTGTTTTTATTGTGTTTTTTTTTTTTTAGTAAGTGATCACATAACTTCTGTCCTCAGCTGCAAAGGAGGCTTGAAAATCTCATTTAAATGTATTTATTTATTTCAGGTACTTATATAGCGCCATCAATTTACGCAGCGCTTTCCATATATATATTGTACATTCAGATCAGTCCCTAACCCTCAAGGGGGTGTACAATCTAAGGTCCCTAACTCACATTCATACATACACATATTAGGGCCAATTTAGACAGGAGCCAATTAACCTACCAGCATGTCTTTGGAGAGCGTGAGGAAACTGGAGTACCCTGGAGGAAACCCATGCAGGCACAGGGAGAACATGCAAACTCCAGGCAGGTGGTGCCGTGGTCGAGATTTGAACCAGCGACCCTAATGCTGCCAGGCAGAAGTGCTAACCATTTAGTCACTGTGCTGCCGAACATGTTGCATGTTTACAGTATATAGCATAAAATTAAGTCAATACAAAGTAGAACATAATTACACAGGTACAAATGCTTAAGTTAAGTGTTGTTTTACTGGGTTTATCACAATATAATATCATATCTTGATTTTATCATCAAGAAATATTTGAATTGAATTTAAAATGTTTTAGACTAATGTTCAGCTTATGGTAGTTATATTAACTAGTCAAAGAGACATACTTGTTCTGCTAAAGTTAACCTGGGCTTTAATTACCTCCAGTCATGAAAGGGTTACAGAACATCTATGTAGGTGTAGTGAAATTACATCTAGCAAGACTGATCAAGCACTATGCATTGAACCCCAGCAGGCATTGACACAGTTGCCCCATGCTGATTGCTGCTTTGTAGAATAAAACATGTACATACTTTTCCCAGCAGTGTCTCTGTTTGCTTACCATTAAAAGTGTGTGTTTTGCAGAACAAGGCTTCTTGTAGACAGGGGTGGCCTGGCATTTACACGATCTTTCCTTCTGAATATATTGCTAAGATTATAGTGTAACTGGATCAAGGAATTAATTTGTGAGTTTAATAAATCTAACAGATGTCTGCCAATTACATTTGCTTTGTTCTATTGCTTTTTTAAGATATAGATTTATTTCTGGTCAACAGAATTAATATAAGCAGTAGGATCCTGATTCCTGTCACAGTAAGGTATGTGATTACAGCACAATATGTGTCAACACATACATCAATATTGTATTCCTTGAGTGACAGAAGTCTATATAGTGACATTTCTAAGGTATTGATTACATAGAATGTGTGATACCATCTTAAGCCCTAAAAATCCATTTTACTACAAAACACTCAGATCAGCAAATATGTGTGTATGTTGGAGGGATCAGGAAACTCTTCTCTGGGAGACAGTGCCAGCTGCCACACAGTTATCTGAGGTAAGATCTTGTTTGGCCTCAACTAAAGGCTAGAAAAAATTTGATATTTACAATGCTTTTCTGGCCCATCATTTACGGTAACTAGAAGACTGTTCAGATGCAACCAGCTTTGTTTGCCACTGAGGACAGAGTGAACATACAGTTGTTTTTCACATGTAACCTCCCTTTTAAAAGAGAAGTTCAGGAATTGAAAAAAAAACCAAACAAACATACATACCTAGATAGATGCACCTTCAGTGCAGCAGCATCTGTCCCCCGTCGCTAAGAACTGAGTATTCAAAGACTGCTGATCGCTGTCAGTTACCGGCTCTCTGCTCTCCCCATCCAACACTCATTGGAGTGCTGGGCTGTGGAGGGGATGGGAGCTTCTGGGCCAGTATCTCAAAAGCTCACTGAGAGGCTGAGCCAGCTGCTGGCCCAGGTATCTGAGTGGATCCCGACATTAAAGTTAGGATCTCTTTGGAGCCTTGACTGGCCCAGTGACATCAGCAGACAGTAGACTTTACCCTGATGTTGACTGAATACATGTCACAGGAGCGCAGAACTGAGTGACCCACAGGAGAAGTAGGGCCAAAAGAGCTTTGAACCTACTTCTCCTTTAGCTAGCATTTTGCAGCAGCTGGAAGAAATGTTGTATGTATAAAAGCCTGGAATATAACAGGCCAACTACCTTATTGTCACTTGTTCAAAAAAGAAGTGAAAAAATTAATTACTCCAAATAAAATAAAGTTCATTCATACAGCTTGATGTCCTGTGCTAATGAAATTTCCTGGATACAAATTGTCAAGTTACAAGGCATTCTGTACCTTTGTAATAAATTCATGTGAATAGGACAAGTTGGTGGTGCTGTTGTTATTATTATTATTATAATACAGTATTTATATAGTGCCAATAGTTTGCTCAGCGCTGTACAATATAGTGGGAGACAGTACAGTAACAATGCAATGCGATACATGAGGGGTTCGAGGGCCCTGCTCCTTGAAGCTTACAATCTAGGAGGGAGGGGAGAGTAGTACAGGAGGAAATAGCTGTGGGGGATGGAGTGGTGGGAAGAGTGGAGAAGATCAGCAATTATGTGAGGGCTGGGTAGGCTTCTCTGAAGAGATGTGTTTTCAGGGTGCGCCTAAAGGTGAGGAGGGTAGGTGACAGTCTGATGGATTGGGGTAGCGAGTTCCAAAGGATGGGGGAAGCCCTGGAGATGTCCTGGAGACGGGCATGGGAGGAGGAGACCAGGGAACTGGAGAGTAGGAGGTCTTGTGAGGAGCGGAGAGTGCGTGTTAGGTGGTAGATGGATATCAGGTCGGTGACGTAGTTTGGGGCTGTTAGTGTATTGTCTACTTTCTATATGGTCTACATTGTTTACTTCTTGTACAGCGTACATCATCTAGTTCCAATATGGCATTCATAATCTACTTTCCTGTATGGTGTGCATCATCTACTTCCTATGGCATGCAGTTATAGAGTAAAGAAATTATAATATAGTAGAGAATAATGCTGGGATAACACAAGTAGAAAATCAAACGAACATTTTCATAACATGACCAATTATTCGAACATGGAAAAGTTTGCCATTTCTTATCTGAATAAACTATTTCTGTCGCTTGTTGAAAATCCGTGTAGCAGTACCACGCATGAGCGGAAGAAGATGACCTGGAAGTATATGTGAAGATATTTTCTAAATATGACCACAAATCTGCCGTTTATTTTTGTGTAGCACCCTCCTAGTTAGCTAGGGGGAGCTCTAGCCTTAATTGTTAGATAGAGGCTGAGTAGCAGCCTGGGTGATAGCAAGGTGGGTCAAATTTAGGTCAGCACTGGGAAGCTCTGCAGACCAGCTCTCTGGGATTTCCCCCTGCTCTATAACTTTTATAGAAAGATCTAGAAGCAGTGGGCGGAGGAGAGGAGAGGCTGGTCTGTATTCTTAGAGCATCTGGCCAATCCCCAACAGGAGGCTCAGCAAGTGGCCAGGACAGCCTTTAAGAGTAATTGAGCCTGTTCAGCAGGAGGAGAGTTTGGGTGCAAGATGGAGAGGAAGTGAAGCTGCAGAGCAGGAGCCTAGGAGGGGGCCCATATGGTAGAGGTCTTGGTAGCAGCCACTGACCCACCAGCAACACAGGAGAAGAGTGATTAAACCTGCACCCCCTGGGCCAGATAGGGGAAGGAGCACTCTGATGGGAAATCATATTAGAAAGACTGTCTTACTTTAAAGTGACCGGCACTGGATTCCCTGCTCAGGGATTCACCCAGATTGGCTGGATTAGGAGAATTGCAATTGAATTGCAGGAAGAATCAATGAACTATGAGAGTGCTCACCAGCACCCTTGTAGTTCATTGAGAACTACCAGCTGTTGGTCGTAACAGCCAATGGTACTTGTAGTTCATTCACGGAGCCCTGTGAATAAATTACGCAGTCATGTGAGCACAGTTGCGCTATTTTCAAATTGTGACAGTGGGTGCGGGGAGAGGATTCTTTACCCGCTGTCACGGGAGGGGGTGTTGGGGGGAGAGAAGGCAGGAGCTGGAACATGGTACATGTTTCAACCTAAATATGGGTGGAACATGTAACATGTTCCACAGGTGAACTTTACCTTTAAATATATTTAATGATTATACATATTTTATTATAAAAAATATATAATTATATGAAAACATAGAAATATTTGTAATATACCAATGCAGTGGTCAAACGTGTCCACCAGGGGACTGTGTTCCATATGCTGTTAGGGAACTTTTCCAGGATGAGAGAATGTTACCTTTGCTTGGAGTTGATAATATTTGTTTATGGACCAGTGCTAATCCAGTATCAGGGCTGGTAAACCTAAAGTGTTTCCTGATACACCTGATACACCTAAAGTGTATCAGGGTTGGTAAACCTACATGTGTTTCCTCCAGCTTCTGGTCATGTGCAACATTCACAGTTTTCCTTTTTTTTTCTTTTTTACTGGGCTGGGAGTGGGACAATAAAAGTAAAGCTGACTGGTCTGATCTCTTTTAGGTCACTGGAGTTGTGACTGATGCAAATGGAAAAGCACATTATGTTCTGTCAGGAACATGGGATGAAAAGATGGAATGTGCAAAGATTGTGCAGAGCAGTCAAGGCAATGGAAGTGGAGAAGGCAAGCAGAAGACCGTCTACCAAACCCTTCCGCCAAAGCTATTGTGGAAGAAATACCCTCTACCGTAAGTCTTCACAGCACGGACTGTCAGTTCAGAATAAATTCTATTTTAACCTTCTTTTCCAAGGAAGTGTATAAGTGAGCACTACAGGTATGTTCATTTATGAAGTACAAAGCACAATAAACCATAGCAACAGATATTCTTTCTGTAATCAGTTTGAAGATGACTAGATTAGAAACATGACCCTTTGCTCCACCTTCTTAGGTATACCAGCTAGCAGCAGGGACTTCAAAGACAAAATATGAATATTTTCCACTAATATTTTTAAGCAGATGTGCTTCTATAATCACATGGGGTATCACATGGGTGAACTGAGAGACACTGTATGAGACACTTGTCAGCCTTAAGGTCACCATCTGCAGCCCTTGAGTTTCTCTCAAGCCAGGTTTATTTCAAAAAAGAAAATGTTAAAGTAAACCTCTGCCCAAACTATGGACACAAAATATTCACGTATTATAAACAAGAAGAAAAAGCACTTTAAAATAAGCTGTTATTCACCTCTGTCACTATAGGCGTGTTGGAGAAATTCATTGTCAACATTCACAACAGAGGCACAAAAATCTTAGTTTTTTTCTATGGAGGGAAAAGCTTGGCAGCCTGCCAGCTTTCTGATGTAAACAAACAGCAGGTGTTTTTCCATGCTGTTAGAAACTGACTTCAGAATTTCTGTTGTAATCTTTGATTATTTTTGAGACTTATATGCCTCACATTACAAGCAGCTATATAGATTAGTGTTTGATTTAAAGCTATCTGCTGTTTGGTAGGAAAATGTAAATAGTTTTATGTCCATAGTCTGGGCACAACTGCACTTTAGGGTATATTTAGATATGCATCTAAAACTACCATGCCTCTGAAGAGTGTTCTGCTTTCAAATCACTTTTCACAGGTGATTAACAGGCAGTGAGATGACGATGTGACACCTCCTCACTGCCTGTTTTAAACCCATTTTTGCTGCCAAAGTGCCACAATTGCATGCAATACTTTCCTGTTTGTTTGAATTGGTTGCTTTTGGCAGGCTTGCCACCCACCAATCGTGGCATGTTGGGCAGGTTTTGCCACAGCTATGAAGAGTTACAGCCACGGAGTGTAAACACCTCTGGCCGCTACCAGTTGTTGGAAGGGGGAGGGGGGGTTGGGGGGGGGCGCACATCTAAACTTAGACTAAGAGTGATGATGTTTAAATGTGTTTGGTAAACCAGTTTGGTAAACTAGTTGATTAAAAAGTGAGATTTCAAAAGACTGCCGTTTCTTCATCATAACCTTTTTTAATTACATTTATACTTGCTTTTTTAGGATGGGGGATGAAGTAAGAGTGGCTATTGTCTCTTTAAGCTGCCTTTGAAACTCTGCTTTTTTGTATTAGGACAAAATACATAAGATAAGAAGGCCAACATACACTGATCAGTCATGGCATTATGACCACTGACAGGTATATTGAATAACATTGATTATCTTGTGACAATAGCACATTAAGGTGGGTGGGATGTATTAGGCAGCAAGTGAACATGTTCTCCCTGAATTTGATGTGTTGAAAGCAGCAGGGGAAGCATAAGGATGTCAGTGAATTTGACAAGGGCCAAATTGTAATGGCTGGACGACTCTGTCGGAGTATCCCCACAACTGCAGCTGTTCCTGGCCTGCATTGGTTAGGACCTACCAATGGAAATTCTATGGTCGAGATGGATGGATGGAGCGGCTGTATGGACACAGAATGCAGAGCCGCTTGGACACTGTAACCGCTGCTGCTGCTGATACTGTAGAGCTCCTGGGTCCAGGATCAGTGGTGAATAGAACAGAGGGAAATGTTCCCCGTCTGCATGCACCACCCTGAGGCTTAATGAAACTAGGGACACTGTTTGGAAGAGCAGTCTACTTCCTTCAACATCTTGTGGAGATTTCCAGCTCTACAGCGGTTACAGCTCTGCGTCCTGTGTTCATACAGCTGCCCTATCCATCCACCTCGGCCATAACTTTCCATTATGGAGACATAGCATAGCTTCAGAACTTTGAGTGCATATTTATTGCTTTTAAATCTATCTTAAAAAAACCCTGCTTACTACAGTAGGCTCCTTGGCGCCTCTCTCATGTGTTCTATTGTCTTCCAGCTAATAAGTTCCCGAAGCCAGTTTAGGAGAAGACAACTTAGTGTCAGCCAGTTTTAGCTTTGCTGTGTTTAGTTTTAGGCTGCTTTCACACTGCAGTGCTTTTAAAATACACTATGCATTTTTAAAATTGTATTTAGTGTTTTAAATGTGTTGCATTACAGCCCATATGTGTGAATAGAAGCTTGTAAGGATGCCATTGGCTGCCGGCACCTTAACAACAAGCTATTCATTGGTTGTTAAGGACACTGGTGGGTGGTTGTTAAGGAGCATCAACCCACCGGCATCCTTAACAACCAGTGATAAGGCACTTCCTCAGTAGTTAGTGGGAGCGATGCTACCACCTGAGGGGGGAGGAGGAGGCAGCGGAGAGACATCGTCAGGGGTCAATCTGGAGCATCAGCTGGGAGGGGAGGAGGCAGGGGGTGGCTGGACTGGAGGAGTTGGATGCAAGAATGTACAACTCCCATGTTAACCAGGCGGGGAATAGGGGGATTGCAGGAGTGCATTTGTTTACCTATCCGCTGGTTGTTAAGGAAGCCAGTACATACCGACTCCTTAACAATCAGATCTTCACTGGTTGTTAAGCATGCTGGCAAGTGCCGACTCCTTAACAAGCATATTTTTGGCACGTGACCCCAAAAACTAACCCTAAGTCCATTTTTGGTGCGGTTCCAATTTCAATGGACGGTGCATCTTTGGTGTGCTTGTGTGTATGTAGAATGTCATTTTCTGTTACATTTGAGTGTTGGTGGAGACACAGGGGGCCCCATGATTTGCCAGTCTGCCCCAGGTTATGTTAAGAAGGCAAGACAGTGAAAGCAGTGACCTGCTACTGACAGCTTGGTGCCTGGTACCCCAGCATACCTTCAGAGGTCTACTGGAGTCCATGGCTCAATGGGCCACGGCTGTTATGATGGCAAAAGGGGACCTACTCAATATTAGGTGAGTGGTCATGTTATGATCATGATATTAATGTTGATTTGTGTATATTTAGCAGAGAGCACAATGTTCTGCTAGCGCCTTCAATAAGAAGCCCAAATTATTTTTTTTTTACTTTTTAGTTCTTAATCCTACTCTTACAGCATTACTCTTTGCATATATAACAATACATCAGGTGCAGATGAAACAAATATGTGATGTTTCAGCTAGGTTTAACTGATTGCAGTGGTTTTTAATGGTAAATTTCACTGTTGTAACTTGGGTGCAGACATCTAGCAAAGTGACCCAGAAAAAGCATGAAACACATGAAGTCATAACACCTGATCTGCATACTTTTCTTAGGTTAGTGACTGCAAATATTGAAGTCTTTGGATCAGCATGTCCGGAAGGCAGCTAGCATTTTGAGCAGGAAAGGTCAGCAATGGCAGCGTTTGTCTTTTTCTGAGTACAGGTCTTTCCTAAATAAAGGTCATCAGGTTTGTAGTGCTAATATAGATGGGTGATCTCTTGTCTTGTTTTTTTTTTTATTTGAAGAGACTGTGAAATAGCAATGCTCTGCATTGATTCACTGTACATTGGGATAGGCCAGCTTTCCTCCAATGCCGCATGCACACAGATTTCATTAACCTTTGCTGACAGGATATTTCTCATGAAACAGCTATAATGGCAAGTATTTAAAGCAAGGGCAGCAATGAGGTCTAACAAAGGACAGAGACAGGGCTGATGTAAAAATTGAGATTCTTCAATTTCATAAGATGCAGTAGGAACTGATTAAATCTGACCTTTAGGCCAGGTTCTCACTGGTGCATTGCATTTTGGCCACAGCTTGGGTTTATGTACAGCTTACATGCATTTTACATGCATATTTAGCCTGACTTTTATTAGGTTGTCCGTTTTTGCCATGTTTTCTAAAAGCACACTGAAGTTGCAGCATTCAGAAGACAACCTAATATATACCAACGGGACCGTGGCTAAAAACGCATGTAAACCATGCATACACCCACTTTGCGGCCAAAACACAGTGCACCAGTGTGAACTCTGCCTTACTGTAGAATGGGCCTAGTATATCAGGATGTGTAGTATGGTAGCAACTATTGAAATTAAAATTATCTGTAATGAAAAGTATGTAGCATATAAAAAGTGTAGAATTGTGGATTTCTATTGATTGTGCAAAGGGGGCAGTACATGATTAGCTCAGGGGACTCAATTAGAACTGCTTTTTTTTTTACCAGTTACAGTGTGGAAAATAATTATTTGATCCCCCGCAGATTTTGTAAGTTTGCACACTTACAAGGACTAGAAGAGTCTATCATTTTTATCATAGGTGTATCTTAAATGGTAGAGACAAAATATCAACAGAAAATCCAGAAAAAAACACATGATACAAATGTTATAAATTGAGTTGCAGTTAATTGAGTAAAATAAGAATTTGATCTCCAAGAAAAAACATGACTTAGTACTTGGTGAAGAAACCTTGTTGGCAAGCACAGAGAGGTAAGACGTTTCTTGTAGTTGGCTGCCAGGTTTGCACAAATCTCAGGAGGGATTTTGGTCCACTCTTCTTTACAGATCTTCTCTGAATTCTTAAGGTTTCTTGGCTGTCACTTGGCAACTCGAAGTTTCAGCTCCTTCCTTATATTTTCTATAGGCTTAAGGTCTGGAGACTGGCTAGGCCACTCCATGACCTTAATGTGCTTCTGGAGCCACTCCTATGTTGCCTTGATGGTCTGTTTTGGGTCTCTTTCATGCTGGAAGACCCATCTTCATTGTTCTGGCTGAAGGAAGAAGGTTCTCATCCAGGATTTTACAATACATGGTCCCGTCCATTGGCCCCTCAATGCGACACAGCCGGCCTGACACAGCATTTTTCTTCCTCCAAATACAGCGAGTCAAGTTCATGCCAAAGAGCTCAATTTTGGTCTGATCTGACCACAGAACTTTCTCCCAATCCTTCTCTAAATCATTAGGTGTTCCTTGGCAAACTTCAGACAGGCCTGTACATGTGTCTTCTTGAGGAGAGGGACTTTGCGGGCACTGCAGAATTTCAGTCCATAGTGGTGTATTGTATTACCAATAGTTTGTTTGATGACTGTGGTCCCAACTTCCTTGAAATCATTCACAAGCTCCTTTCATGCAGTTCTGGGCTGATCCCTCACTTTTTTCATAATCATCCTTACGCCATGAGGCAAAATCTTGCATGGAGCTCCAGACCGAGGGTGATTGATAGTTATTCTTCCATTTGCAAATAATCGCTCCAACTTTTGTCTCCCTCTCACCAAGCTTTTTGCTGATGGTGTTGTAGCCTATTCCAGCTTTGTGCAGGTCTACAATCTTGTCCCTGACATCTTTTTACAGCTCTTTGGTCTTGCCCATGGTGATGGTGAGGTTTGAATGGAAGAAAGAGATTCTGTGGACAGGTATCTTTTATGCACATAACGGGTTGTCATTAGGAGCACCTAACTGACAGGTCTACTCTATGTACCACATGAGCACATAGCCAGTCTGTGGGAGCCAGAATTATTGTTGGTTGGTAGGGAATCAAATAGCTATTTCACTCACTGAACTGCAACTCAATTTATAACATTTGTATCATGTGTTTTTTCTGGATTTTCAGTTGATATTCTGTCTCTTTAGCATTTAAAATACACCTATAATAAAAATTTTAGACCCTTCATTTCTTTGTAAGTGGGCAAACTTACAAAATCTGCAGGGAATCCAATAATTATTTTCCCCACTGCATGTGCTCACATTACATTTTGTTCAGAATGTGCAGAATTTCTCTTCCCTTTTTCATCCAATCTTTCCATTCAGTTATTTTCTTTTTAAAATTAATAGAATATTAAATTTTTACCCACTTTTCTTAAAACGTATGAAATTCTGAGACAAATAGCAGAATTCTACTCTAAAATATCAAAAAAGGTTGTGTTTGATAGTCTGAGTGTAAAATTCTTTTTTTTTTTGTATGTTTGATTAATCAGATTTTATTAAAGTCTTAAAAAAAACATACAATGGTCACGCCACCAAGTAATTTACAATCGTACAAAGTCTATATCGGTACATAAGCAATATGATGGAGCCATACAATACATCCAAAATAGTCCTAGTAAACCAAAAGCTCACACCTTCTCCAGGATTCTATAATGTTATAGACCATGTCAATGACATGAGAATCACACAATAATAAGAATAACATCTCGCATAAGAGAAAAAAAAATAAGAAAATAAGTTTAACAAAAAATCAGTACTCAGAAAGTCACATGCACTTCAACCAAAGCATTCGTACACCCCTATAAAGAGTCTTGGAGGTATTTTAACCAAATGTATCTGAATACTAACTAGCAATCAGGAGAGATAGGAAAAGAACAGCCCTCAACGTCATTAAAGTTTTACATATCTGGTAAATTATGAGAATAATAGATCCACCCCACCCGAATATCATTAAACTGCTCCAGCGTATCATTGGCAGCACGGACCCATCTTTCAGCCTCCATAATCTGATCCACTTCCCTTCTGCAGTCAGCAAGAGTAGGGCAGATTAATTTTTTTCCAAAACTGTGGAAAAAATAACACCTAGTTAGCAATTTATGTAAAGATTCCTGCTCTTTTGAGCTTACAGATGAGGCATGTGTGTGCCTTATAATCATTTGCAGTTGGGTGGGATAAACTCTATTTCAAGTTTCTTCTTACATTCGCTAATAAAATAGGGGGGTGGAGTAACAGAAAATCTCAAGAGAAGTTTATACAACTGAGAGAGGAGGTGTCCCGAGTCTGGAAAAGTGAAGCATAGGGATTCAAATTTGGAGAGGGTGGAGCTTGCGCTCGGTTTGGGGTGGTCTTGCTAATGAAGCCATAGAGCTGTGGGTGTCTCCAGTGATCCATTGGGAAAGACTCGAAGCTACTTCTCAAAGAGCCCAAGGAGAGGAATGAACCATTGGGGGCTAGCTTGGCACAGGTGGTTTCCCATCTGTCCCCCATAAGCATAAGAAGCATGTATCTTCCCTAGGCACCAACCAAGGGAAGCCTCCCAACAGACCAAGGGTGACATTTTAGGTGCCAGGTAAAATTCTTTTTACATTAGACGTTCAGGTGACAACTAATAAACTGGGCAATATTGAACAAACAGATTTGTCATATGATAGAAAATCATTCTGGGTAGATAGTAGTTAAAGCGTATCCAATCCCAAAACTGCATTTAGCTGCATTAAGTAGGTGTTTCACAGTTTATGAGTATTTGATGTGATGTCTGCATTTGTTTTATCTTTTAAAGTCTTAGTTGATACCCTAGATTGCTCTCCTGATATTGGCTACAAACCTGTCCATAGCTCTTAATCTCCATTACTTGGGGGCAGGAAAATGGTGGTTTACAGAAGTTAGTTAGGAAGGTATTTTCGGGCATGGCAACCCACTTTTATTCAATTACATGAGTTGCCCACGCAGGGGTTTCTTCCACACATTATGCACAAACAAAATTACTGAGCCACCTTGCTCACTTGTTGGCAGCACTGCTGCTTCTGTCACCAGTCCCTTTGACTGTGTTGTCCAGCTCTCCTGGATGCTTGACTCTCAAGCCTTTAGTCGCAGCGCCCTGCTGCATGGCCCACCTCTGGCCTATGGATTGCGGTTCTCCTTACACCCCAATATGAGCTGACCTTACTGCTAGAACTAAGACCTGCTGTTTCCTGGCTTCTGGTTGGGGCACCTCTGACCCCTAGACAAGACCTTCTGTCTCTTGGCTCTTGGCTGGGGCCCCCTGACCCCAGGTTGAGACCTTTTGTCTCCCACGCTGGTATATATATAGCTATATAGTGTATATATATATATATATATATATATATATATATATATACACACACAAAGGTGCAGCGCTGGTATCAATCTATGTGAAAAATTCACATAAACATGTGAACAAATATCCAATATTGTGCAATAAAAATTGACATGAATTATAAATAAAGTCCAAAGAAAGGTGCAATGTCCAACAATATTGTGTGAATCAATAATGATCAGTTGTGTAAGGTAACATCTGTGAAGGGTACATCTGTGACAATCCTCCACCACTATGCACTCACCAGAAGCAAGAAATAAACTGGCTCTGCACAGAAATCCCTCCAAGAGATGTAACCTTTCCACTGCAGGAAGTAGGTATATGGCCAAATAACATCCACTGTGCCTGGGCTCTATATGGGCATTCCTTAAGATGGATCTCTCAACACCCATACACAGATCAGCGATCAATCCAGATACAGCAAATCCTGAAAAGAGCTCAAACACCAGAGCCCAGAGACAGCGGTATATAATGTAGTATTTTATTCAATAAAAATACAAGGCATCCACGTGGAGCATAAAAACAATCAACAATCACTCGCAAAGATGGCCACCAAACCATCGCATGGACTCGGCGTCATGACATCAGCACGTAGGCTCCCTCTGACGTGTTTCGTGCACATGCACGTTCTCAAAGGGACCCGCCTCCTACTGATGCCATCACAGTATACAACTTAAATAGCCCTTAGGCATGCAGATGGACGAGCGCCATTTTACTGAAGACCAAGCATCGCATCCTTGTTCCGGATCAAAAAAGTAATCATTATAAATAAAATTGTGGTAAAAACATGTAGCAGAATACATTTTGGCCAACATTTATAAAGAAATTTGATTTTTTTTATTAGAGATGTTTTATAGCAGAAAGTAAAAACATTTTTTTTCTAAATTTTATATTGCAAAAAAAAAAAAAAAAAACTGGTGATAAAATACCCACACGTATAAGCTCTATTTGTGTGGAAAAAAGTTCTAAATTTTGTTTGGGTACGGTGTTGTATGATCGCACAATAACCAATTAAAATAGCGCAGTTTGGTATAGCAAAAAATGGCCTGGTCATGAAGGGGGTAAAACCTTCCAGAGCTGGAGTGGTTAATATCACTTTAATTCTATTTTCCCTTTTTCTGGTGTCTTTCAGTGACAATGCAGAGAATATGTACTTTTTCTCTGAACTTGCACTTACTCTTAATGAGCCTGATGACAGCACTGCCCCCACCGATAGCCGACATAGGCCAGACCAGAGGCTAATGGAGAACGGCAAGTGGGATGAGGCAAATGTGGAGAAGCAGCGTTTGGAAGAGAAGCAGAGGGCTGTGCGAAGAAGGCGAGAGGCAGAAGCCGCAGAAGCTTTAGAAGAAGGTAAATCACCTACTGTTTTTCATTTTTATTATGAAGGGTAATTCTTGAATAGGTGTATCCTTCAGACTCACACATAATAGTTCTATCACAAAATATATATAGGGCTAGTACTTATAGGTGCCCTATCTGTGCTTCTGGGGCCCTTGATTTGAACCTCATTCACTGTTCAGGTGTTCTTGCACCTCAATGTCTGAAAAAAAAATATAGATGACCTAAAAGAGAACATTGAATAGAAGACAGTATGACAATTACAGTATTATTCATATCAGAATGCAATATTTGTAGTAAGTTTAGAAAAATAAATTACGTTTGACTAAACATAATTTATAGGGTATAGTCCAAATGTGTACCAGTTTACATACTGTACATGTCAGCAGAATTTCAATCTGCAAATTTTGATTTTAGCTGCCCATGCATAAACGTATTCATTTGAAGATCTGATATTCTATTTTACAACAAGCCCGCATAATGCAATATATTCTGATAAAAACAATTTTATTACATGGCCTTCTGAACTTCTTATCACAGAGAACTGAGTTTTTAAGTTTGAAGTAGCATACAGAATGACACTTAATAAGAAAATGAGCTTCTACACGCTGTGTACCATACCCGTGTGTATCTGGGACTATAATGTTTTTGGCCATGCTCTGCTGTTCTGATTCTGCATCCTTTCATTCCTTTTAACAGTGAAACATATATATAGAAACAGATACACAAAATCATCCAGGATCTGTCTTTGTCTTCTTTATGGGCTGACTGTGGTGTGTGAGTGTGTTAGGTTCTGTGACTAATCCTTGAGTACTCAACATTTTGTGTGTCTTGGTGAACATAAAATTATTAATCCATACTGCTCTTGTACTATAGAATATATCTTGTTGATCACGCAGCACATATGTCCACTTGTGATTTTAAACAATCTCGTTCACTTTATTTAACTATCCTTCTAATGATGAGGCCCTACTGGTTTTTAATCAGATGGGTATAAGGCAAGGTATTAGTGACTTTGTAGCACTTATATTGGTTTATATAGGTTTGGATATCATGAAACATAATTGCCAATGGGTCAAGAGTTACAAATATTTACATAGTTACATAGTTTGGCTGAAAAAAGATAAAAGTCCATCCAGTTCAAAAATAAAAAAGTTATAATCTTATACCCACAGTTGATCCAGAGGCAGGCAAAAAACCCAGCAAAGCATGATTCAATTTGCTCCTGAAGGGGAAAAAATTCCTTACTGATCCCCCAAGAGGCAATCAGATATTCCCTGGTTCAAATTTACCTATAAATGTTAGTATCCAGTTAAATTAAGTGTATCCAAGAAAGAATCTAGGCATTTTTAAAGCAATCTACTGAGCTGGCCAGAACCAACTCTTGAGGGAGTCTATTCCACATTTTCACAGTTCGTACTGTAAAGAAACCTTTCCGTATTTTTAGATTAAATCTCTTTCCCTTCAGATGTAAACACCAAGTTCACTATATGAACCACTGATGTATTTATACATGTTGATTATATCCCCCCTTAATCTCCTCTTTTCAAGAGAGAATACATTTATTTCCTCTAATCTTTCCTCATAGCTGAGCTCCTCCATGCTTCTTATCAGTTTGGTTGCCCTTCTCTGTACTTTCTCCAGTTCCCCAATGTTTTTTTTGTGAATTGGTGCCCAAAACTGAACTGCATATTGCAGATGAGGTATAACTAATGATTTGTACAGGGGTAATATGATATCTCTCTCTCTGGAGTTCATACCTCTTTTAACTTCTTGCCAACCACAGATAGCCGAATGACGGCTACACTGCGGCCGGCTAGTTCTGGGAAGGCGTCATATGACGTCCTCCCAGAACGCGCTCTCCTGCGCGCCCCCGGGGGCGCGCACCTGGCGATCTCCATGATCGCTGTATCCTATGGACACAGCTGATCACGTGATCTGGTAAAAGGCTAATCACAGCGGCCTTTTACCACGTGATCATCCATGTCCAATGGCACACTGATCACCGGGAAATGCAATTGCCGGTTCTCGGCTGCACTTTCCTCACGCTGTCAGAGCGCGATGAAAGTACTGCCGAGAACCGGCAGTTGTCAGAGCAGGGATCGGCACCGATCATCAGGGCACTGATGATCAGTGCCCTGATGATCGGTGCCCAGCAGTGCCACCCACCAGTTCCGCCCACCTGTGCCCAGCAGTGCAGCCCACTAGTGCCCAGCAGTGCCACCCACCAGTGCCCAGCAGTGCCACCCAGCAGTGCACCCACCTGTGCCCAGCAGTGCCACCTACCTGTGCCCAGAAGTGCCACCTACCTGTGCCCAGCCACCCACCTGTGCCCAGCAGTGCCACCAACCTGTGCCCACCAGTGCCACCCACCTGTGCCCACCAGTGCCTGCCAGTCACCATCGGTTGTGCCCATCAATGCAGTGCTGCCAGTCAGTGCCCATCGGTTGTGCTAGTCAGTGCCCATCAGTTGCGTCAGTCAATGCCTAGCATTGCCGCCAGTCAGTGCCCAGCAGTGATGCCAGTCATTGCCACCTATCAGTGCTGTCTATCAGTACCCATCATCAGTGCCACCTGTCAGTGTCACCTATCAGTGCCGCCTATCCGTGACACCTCATTAGTGCTGCCTATCAGTGCCGCCTATCAGAGCCCTTCAGTGTTGCCTATCAGTGCCTCCTATCAGTGCCCATCAGTGCTGCCACATCAACGCACATCAGTGAAGGAGAAAAATTACCTGTTTGAAAATTTTGATAATAGAAACAAAGAAACATTTTTTTTATCAAATTTTTTGCAATTTTTGTTTATAGCGCAAAAAGTAAAGTGCCCAGCGATGATTAAATACCACCAAAAGAAAGCTCTATTTGTGAGAAAAAAAATGCTAAAAATTTCATATGGGTACAATCTTGCATGACCCGCGCAATTGTCAATCAAAGTGCGACAGTGATGAAAGCTGAAAATTGTCCTGGTAAAGAAGGGGGTATAAGTGCCCGGTAGGCAAGTGGTTACTACAAGAGAGGATTTTGCACACTTTAGAAACCGCAGCTTGGCATTGCATGCCATTATTAAGCTTGTGATCTACCAGAACTCCCAGGTCCTTCTCCACCATTGATTCCCCCAGTTGTACCCCCCCTAGTATGTATGATGCATGCATATTCTTAGCCTCCAAGTGCATAACCTTACATTTATCAATATTAAACCTCATTTGCCACATAGTTGCCCAATTAAACAGTGCATTGAGGTCGGCTTGTAAATTGGAGACATCCTGTAAGGACATTATTCCACTGCACAGCTTGGTGTCATCTGCAAAGACTGAAATGGGATTTTTAATCCCAGACCCTATATCGTTTATAAATGTATTAAAAAAAGTAAGGGTCCCAATACCGAACCTTGGGGTACACCACTGACAACCCAAGACCAATCAGAGTATGAATCATTAACCACTACTCTCTGAATACGATCTTTTAGCCAGTTGTCTATCATTTACATACAGATTTTTCCAAGCCCGTACACTTTACCTTACACATTAGAGCAAAGGTATACAGCTCAGGCAAACAATCCAGATCAATCCACAACAGGTGCAGGCTCTGGCTCGCCACCACACACGATGCAATAGGAAGAAGGGTCAGCCGCACACCGGAGGATAGATGAATATAGTGTCCATTTATTATTCCATAGGACACACAAAACACAGGACATGAATACAGGACCTGTTAATGCGATTTTCGCACGATCTCGTGTCCTTAATCATAACGAAGCTCATGCGGGACCCTTCTTCCCCCTATTGCCGTGTGCAGGGGCCCCATGAGTTGTCAGTCCGCCCCTGCAAGAACTCATCTATGTGGGTCTTTTATTTGAGTGATGTTTTTGTAGCTTGAAGTTCGAAGCTTTTTTGAGTTTGGACAAGGACACAGGGTCCCACTCCTATTGCCGGGGGCCCCATGAGTTGTCAAGTGTTTTGTAGCTTGAAAGCTCCAAAAGAAGCTCAAACTTAAAAATACAATTGTTCTCTATGGTGCCTGTTCACACCTGATCGCACGAACAGGCATCATAGAGAACAATTGATTTTTCAGCTTTGAGCATTTTTGGAGCTTCAAGCTACAAAACACTAAAGTGTGAATGCATCCTTAAATATAGGCACCACATTGGCATTACCCAAATTCAATGGTACTATGCCAGTCATTAAAGAGTCTGCAAAAATTAGAAACAATGGCTTTGAAATGACAAAGCTCAATTCTTTAAGGACCTGTGGGTGTATGCCATCCGGTCCAGATGCTTTATTCACCTTTATTTCTGTCTAAATATTTCTGGATCATATCAGTTGTGAGCCAATGTGAATCATCTGGAGCTGTGACAATACAATGCCCATTATGTACAAAAGCTCCCCCATTTCTATACACCTGAAGAAGGTATTTATTACATTTGCATTCTCTTTGTCCCCAGTCACCCACTCTAGATTGTTTTGTAAAGAGCCTACATGCTCAGACCAGACCTTTTTACTATTAATATCTTTGAATAATTTTGGGGGGATTGTCCTGCTATCTTTTGCTATCTGGCATTCGTTTTCAATTTTTGCGGCCTTGATTTCCATTTTGCATATTCTGTTATATTCATTGCAATGTTTAAACGATGATAGCATTCCTTCGATTTTATATTTGATAACAGCTCTTTTCTTATTAGTAAAGTATAATGGAAAAGCGAGCGCTCTCTTAATAAGCAGCTAGAGCACCAACGGTAACCAGTATAAAACCTTCAGAAACACATAATAAGTAAATAGTTGCACATAGAATCCACAAATAGTGCTCCAAAACATGTGGTAAAATGATGCACTCACCAGATGCATAAAGTATATACGCATTAAATGACACTGTAGAGGTCCCCTTTAGGAATTGGATAAGATCCTAATATGGGATAGTCCTCCCTCTAGGTAAGGTGGTGCTTGTTAGGAGCTCACGGGCAGGTACAGGATCCAGCTGGCCAGAAATGATGGACAGGTGTAGAAGCCTGCTTTAAAGGACTCCCTTCTCTGGATGTTTTAAGGTTGGCTGGATCAGGAAGGGCTCTATAAATAATTTGCTCCGTGCAGGAGACCATAGAGAATGCCCATAGTGTAGTAGGTATTTAATCAGAAATTTATTGTAATAAAAGCGAATTTGCAATTCCAAAAAAATACAAAGTAAAGTGACATTCGGGATAACATGGACTAACCGTCCAACAACTAAATATGACAGCCGGGCCTCCACATGGCGCCTGCGGCGTGACGTCACAGCGTCTTTGGCTCCTCTAACGCGTTTCGTGCGCACGCACTTCTTCAGAGGGCGGATACCAATCTTTTCTTATTATTTAAAGCTTTTTTGATTTTGGCCGTAAGCCACATAGGTTTGATTTTTAGCCTTTAAACTTGTTGCCCATGAAAATATATTTTGCAGTGTGTTCACATACAGTCTTTTTGAAGAACTCCTATATTTGTGTTGTGTTCATTGATGCCAATATTCCCTCCCAGTCTAAGTCTTGGAGAGCAGCTCTCAGTAAACAGCTACAACAGTAAATTAAATCATGTTATGGTCACTGCTACCTCGATGTTCTTTTATATGGACATTACTGTAGTAATAAGCTCTGTATGGTTGAGATTACCAGTTCCAGCAGAGCATCATTCCTAGTTGAGGCCTCTATGAACTGTACCATAAAATTGTCCTGTAGTAATTGTATAATTTTTGCCCTTTAACTGTTCCTGCATTACCATTACTCCAATCAGTTTCCGGGTAGTTAAAATCCCCCATTATCACTGTCCCAGCCCTTGCAGCCCTTTTGATCTGTACAAGGAGCTTAGACTCCACCTCCTCATTAACACTGGGTTGCCTTTAACAAACTCCAATGATCACCTTTGTAGTATGCACCTCCATGTGCAGTTCCACCCATAATGCTTCAGCCTCATCACACTCTCCATCAACTAGGTTCTCTTTCACACTCGCTCTGAGATAACTTCTCACATAGAGACAGAAACCACCACCTTTCCTTTTTACCCTATCTCTCTGAAAGAGAACATAGCCAGGAATAATAATGGCCCAGTAATGTGAAGAATGAAGCCAAGATTCAGCAATACCAATTAAATCATTATTCTCTTCATGCCCCAAAGCTTCCAACTCCCCTATTTTGCTTGGCAGACTTCTGGCATTTGTGAACAAACACTTTATTTCATTGACACCTTGTGCACACGTATTTTGCATATTTTTTATTTTCATACAAATGGTATCAATTCCAATGGTTGTTTGTAACATGGTAAACTTATTATCACCTGCCATAGCCCTCCCCCTATCTTTCCCAATTCCACCCACCAATAAGGACTGACCCCTGTCTTATCTGTCTGCTCCATTATAATCTAATTCTCCCTCCCAGTCGATCCAAGTTTAAATACTCCTCCAGCTGTCCCATACTAAGGCATTATATTTTGTGCCGCAGACCAAAAAGGTTTTATTATGGAGCAATCCCACCAAAGATGGAAAAATGTTCCATGTAGACCATAACCTCTCCAGCAGCCTGCTGAAATATTATGATACAATAATGCCAGCCTGGCTAGTACACTAGTACTCTGTACCATTTACAGTAGAATACAGTTTAGTAGACCAAGCCTCCTGAATGTTGGAGCATGTGGATGAAAGAGGCACCAGCCCAGGTTTTTGGGGATTTTTTACTATCAGGGCAATTTCTAGATCTTTCTCTTGCTCCCTGACAAAGTAGGGATCCAGTTGTGACTCCAAACTAAAAGTGAAAGAGGCTTAATATTCTACCGCCTCACCACACATAACTTGTCAAAATCCTACAGCATGCCAGGTGTTCTTCAAGATTTCCCAAGCTCTGAATGAAATGTTTCACCTCCAATTATCCTTAAATATGAGCCCCATTCTTCCCTGAATTGGTCTTGGGACTTCAGTGTGCCAGTTTATGTAAATTTACCACAACTTGTATCCCTATTTGTTTCCCCCTTCCAAATAATTTAAGATCTTCCCTGGGACTAAACCAGGGGACTCCATCTAAAGGAGCTAAAGGTGAGAGAGCTTTAGCTAAGGGAGTGTTTTCTGTAGCATACTCCTAATATGGTGAGTGTAAGCTTGATGTATTGTGATGAAGATCCCCTGCTTTGTGGCGTCAGCCAGGGAGTGTGCACCAGATTGCACCCTGCCATAAATTTCTCCAGTGAGGCCCATTGTCCTTAGAGCCAAAATTCCAATTTATTATTCACAGTAATGCTATTGCCTTACAGTAAAGATGGAGATCTGGTAGTGCTACTCCTTCTGTGTTCTTGGTTCTCCTAAATATGGAGTAGGCATATTTTAATATCTGCTTCTTCCTTACAACTGCCTATAGTGTGTTTTAGGTCTGATGAAAAAATACCTTGGTAACTCTAGAACAAATTCTAAGTTCTGCTGTATCCCAATCCTGTAGGTTCTTTTGGACTGCTTGAAAGAGGGGTGGGAAATTAATTTAAAAAGGAGATGTAAATTGTTTGTGAGCTTAAGGCTTCATGCACACTAGCCTATTTTTAAGCTTCTAGTAACTAGTTCTGACCATTTTTTTCTTCTGCCCCTAGATGCAAATAGCGTTATGCTATGACTCCATGCACA